CGTGACCGCAGCTCCGGGCGGGCGGTGGCCTCCCGGGTGCTTCCTGGCGCCTGGGGAGCCCGGATGCACAGCGTGGCTTCGCTCCTCTGCCCCGGGGGGGGGGGGGGGCCCCGCGGGGGGGTCGGGGGGGCGGGGGGCCCGGGGGCACCGGGGGGGTTTCCCCCCCTCCCCCCCCCCCCCCCCCCCCCCCCGCGTCGGGAGCCTCTTCTGTGCCCCAGGGAAGGGCTGCTAGAACGTCCCCAGCAGCGGTGTCCCTGAATGCGGCCGACAGACGTGGGCTCTGCTGGCCTACAGGGACCACGCGGCGCAGCGTGTGTGGCCCAGGGCCTGTGTGCGGCTTCGGGCTGTGTGCTCTGTAAGTGCTGCTCAGGTCCAAGAACAATCCCTCAGGGACGGACTTGGTTTCGTACAGAGACGTGGGGGGCGGACGGGTCGCCCACATGCCCTGCACTTGGGATTGGGCGGTCGGGAGGCGTTTCTCTCCATCAGGGGGACTGTGCTGCCACTCACTGAGGAGGGTAGTAATGTCAACACTGGAAGAGGTCGCTCAGAAATAAATCGTGTTGCTAAGTCCACCCGTGCAGGGCATGTTTATTTTCTCTGCTTAAGAGACACATCTTCCGGGGGCACCTGGCTGGCCCCGTTGATGGGGCCTACGACTGTTGACTTTGGAGTCCTGAGTTTCAGCCCCAGGTTGGGTATGGTGCTTTAAAATTCATTTTGAAAAACACAATAAAGATGCACAAGGCTGTGTTAAGCGTGGACACTAAATTAATCCGCATGTGTGGACACTAAATTAATCCGCATGTGAGGCAGGACAAATACCCCACATGACGTGGCAACAATCTCTCCCAGTGCTGGAGGCTGGGAGTCTGAGATCCTGGCTGGGCAGAGACTGGGAGGTTGAGATCCAGGCAAGGCCGAGGCTGAAAGTGTGAGGCCCAGTAGGGCCTGAGTCAGGGACTCTGACATCCAGGCAGGGCTGAGGCTGGGAGTCTGAGATCTAGGTGGGGCTGAGGCTGGGGGGTCTGAGATCCAGGTAGGGCCGAGGCTGGGTGTCTGATGTCCAGGCAGGGCTGAGGCTGGGAGGCTGAGATCCAGGCGGGGCTGGAGACTGGGAAACTGAGGTCCAGGGAGGGCTGAGAATGGAAGTCTGACTTCCAGGACGGGCCGAGCCTGGGAGTCTGAGTCCAGGCAGGGCCGAACCTGGAGGTGTGAGATCCAGGCAGGGCTGAGGTTGGGAGTCTGAGATCCAGGACGGGTGGAGGCTGGGGGTCTCAGTTGCAAACAGGGCTGAGCCTGAGAGGTTGAGATCCAGGCAAAGCCGAGGCTGAAAGTGTAAGGCCCAGTAGGGCCTGAGTCAGCGACTCTGACATCCAGGTGGGGCTGAGGCAGGGGGTCTGAGATCCAGGCAGGGCTGAGACTGGGAGGCTGAGATCCAGGCAGGGCTGAGGCTGGGACTCTGAGATCTAGGTGGGGCTGAGGCTGGGGGTCAGATCCAGAAAGGGCCGAGGTTGGGGGTCTGACTTCCAGTCAGGGCCGAGGCTGGGAGTCAGAGGTCCAGGCAGGGCAGAAGCTGGGAGTCTGAGATGCAGGAGGAGTCGAAGCTGGGAGGCTGAGATCCAGGCAGGTTTGGAGGCTGGGAGTTTGAGGTCCCGACTGGGCCAAGGATGGGAGTCTGAGATCCAGGTAGGGCTGTGGCTGGGGGTCTGAAGTCCAGGCTGGGCTGAGGCTGGGAGTCTGAGATCTAGGTGGGGCTGAGGCTGGGGGGTCTGAGATCCAGGACGGGCCGAGCCTGGGAGTCTGAGGTCCAGGCAGGGCTGAACCTGGAGGTGTGAGATCCAGGCAGGGCTGAGGTTGGGAGTCTGAGATCCAGGAGGGGTGGAGGCTGGGGGTCTCAGTTCCAAACAGGGCTGAGCCTGAGAGGTTGAGATCCAGGCGAAGCCGAGGCTGAAAGTGTGAGGCCCAGTAGGGCCTGAGTCAGTGACTCTGACATCCAGGTGGGGCCAAGGCAGGGGGTCTGAGATCCAGGCAGGGCTGAGACTGGGGGTTTGAGTTCCAGGCAGGGCTGAGCCTGGGAGTCTGAGGTCCAGGCAGGGCTGAGGCTGGGGGGGTCTGAGATCCAGGCAGGGATGAGGCTGGGAGTCTGAGATCCAGGGAGGGCTGGAGGTTGGAAGTCTGAGATCCAGGCAGGGCCGAGGCTGGGAGTATGAGATCCAGGCAGGGCTGAGGCTGGGGTCTGACTTCTAGGCAGGACCAAGGCTGGGATTGTGAGGCCCAGGCAGGGCAGAAATGGGAGGCTGAGATCCAGGCAGGGCTGAGGCTGGGTGTCTGAGGTCCAGGCAGGGCTGAGGTTGGGAGATCTGAGATCCAGGCACGGATGAGGCTGGGAGGCTGAGATCCAGGCAGGGCTGAGGCTGGGGTATTACTTCTAGGCAGGACCAAGGCTGGGATTGTGAGGCCCAGGCAGGGC